CAGACCCCTGCGCCTCTGGCGAAATCTGAACCGGCTTCAGGTTCAGTGAGCGTTGCAGTTGCTACCCGGATGATGTCCCGGTGTATTTTTACTCGGTGCGGACGATGCCGTGATGTTCGGCGAACATCGTGAGGGTTGGGTTGTCCGAATCGCATGGAAGAGCTCTTCACAGCAGAGGCAGGTATTCGTGGTGAAGCGGTAGAATTGAACTACCGCAATAAATGTATACTCATGTTTGGTGTTGCCAGCTCCAATGCCTCTGCACAATAAGCCTGAAACCCCTGTGTGATGTTTTCGGTTTCCAGACTCGTCCTTTGCTTGTTATTTTGCATTGGTTTGCTCATCTATGAATTTTAAGCTGAGCAAATCCCCTACGCATGGAGCATGTGGCTGGAGACTTCTGCCAGCCACTAGGGACACGAATAGGAAATTGGTCCTGGAAAGAAATCCTCTCTGACGGGTTTTGCTACGCGGTTTTGGGAGATGGCACTGTTGGCTGTGCTCTGTTCGCTTTGTTAAGCGTGCCGTGCCGGCGCTGCTCCGCTTACCGACCGGTCGCTGACGTCATCATACCTCCGTGTTCGTCCGGGCGACATCTTTCAAACGACTCTGACGACTTTCAGGCAATCATGGGCCCGATGATGGGCCAGCTGAACACCTTGGTGGACGGCCCCACGCAGCTGAGCGAGCCATTCTCGCAGGAGTTTAACATCTGCATATTCCAAACGCTGGCCGACTTCAGCCGTAGCGTGCTGCCGGCGCCGGACGTGGCGGCGGCGGCGGCGCCACCGCCGCTCAATTGGAGCGCTCCGGGCGCTGGCGGTGTCACCATCACCGAGCTGGCGTCCGAGCCGTCGTCGTCGTCGCCGCCGCCTCCTCCTCCGCCGCCGCAGTCGCTGCCTCCTCCACCGCCGCCACCGCCGCCGCCGCCCGCGTCTAGCGCCGCCTGCCCGGACATGACGCTGCCTAGTCATAATAGCGGCGCACTGGCACCGCTGTGCGTGGACACGTATTCGGACAGTGATCTGCACAGCCTGCTGAGCGACTGCAGCGAACATTGGCCCGATCCGGCGGCCGGCGGGCCCAGTCCGGCCACCAGCGAGTTCAGTAGCGCCACCTATCCGTCGCCGGGCTCGCTGGTGGCGCCGCCCCGCGACCAGACCAATGAACTCGGTTCCGCTCAGTACAACGCATGCGGCGCGTTTGCCGGCGCGTCGTCCGCTCAGTGTTATGCGTCGCCGCCCGCGCCGCCGGCGCCCGGACCGGCGCCCAACGGGCAGACAGTTTCGCCACCGTACGGCCACCCGGTGCGGCAGTCGTGCCAGTTTCAGCCGGCGGCGGCGCCACTGTCGATGCCGTTCCAGCAGGACGTGTTCATGCACCCAGCGCCGCCGCAGCAGTCATATTTGCCAGGTAAGAGAGGCGGCGGCTCATGCATTGTCAGGTGGGGTGAGGTTCTTTGAAAGGCCAATATCTGGTGTTAAAAGTGCTGTATGTAAGCTATTCAAGATTTTGTTTCCTGTGGAATTGAATGCTGAATGGTGGATTTGAATTTTGAATGTATAATGCGCGCGATGTAACCTGCGCGTACGAACGGGCGCTGGATTTGCTTTTTGCGGTGCCCGTTCGCAAGAAAATACCTTGCTAGGCACATTAAATATGCGACTGTAAAACCCACATGTTATGACGTGTACCAACGTTGGTGACTATTGAGCTTGTCAACAATGGTTATATGATTTCGGGATTGGCCACTGTGTGGCAGCTCCCTGCTTTCTGCTTCTGCTTCAGAATATGGTACGGCTCGGAACGTTGATGGATTCTTGGAAACCAGCCTTGCTCTCGCATTGATACATTTTGCTCTTCAACATAAACTAATTGAAAAGACGAGTTCTCACTCCGTGCGTTATGGCGTATGAGAGCCATGGTGGGCCTTGCGTAACGTGGCTTACATTTTCCGGGATATGTACTAAGTGAATATTTTTTGCAGATTATCCGCTACATTCTCAAGAGGTATTACTTAATAGGCATTACATGGCACAGGTGAGGCAGGATGACAGTGTCTAACTACACGACAGATGTCATATGTTTATGTTCCGGACTTTTGGGGGGCCATATATGTGCTCATTCGCGCAGACGTGGCTCCAATTATTGCTTGAACAAAGCGGCTGCCGACATGTCAGACGTGACCGCCCTAACACTTGACACGATTTAGTTGGCCAGTGCTGCCTATCTTGGCCTGTACCCGCCGGGAGGCCCGACCACCGTGACCTCTGAACACCATGACCCCTGAACACCGCCCTGACCCCTGACCACACTGACCTCTGACCACCGTGACCCCTGACCGCCGTGACCTCTGACACCGTGACCCCTGAACACCGCCCTGACCCCTGACCACACTGACCTCTGACCACCGTGACCCCTGACCGCCGTGACCTCTGAACACCGTGACCCCTGAACACCGCCGCGACCTTTGAGCGGTGTGACCCTGACCGCTGTGACCCCTGAACAACCGTGACCCCTGATTACTGTGACCCCTGAACACTGCCGGGATTCCTGAACTTTGCCGTGACCCCTGAACACTGTGACCCCTGACCGCTGTGACCCCTGAACACTGCCGTAACCCCTGAACACCGTGACCCCTTTCCGGCGTGACCCCTGACCGGCGTGACCCCTGGCCGGCGTGACGGCTGACCGGCTTCGCCCGCGGCCGACAGCAGCCGACGATGGAGGTGACACCGCAGATGGCGGGGGCCGACCTGTCGCTGGAGCTGCCCTGCGACCTGCCGCTGCTGCTCACGCCGCCCACCTCGTCCAACCCGCAGGCGTCCGGCGACGACGCTCTCATGAGCTGGAGTCAAGGCTGAGGAGGCCGCCGACGCCGCGCGCTGTGATGGCCTGAGGCGGGGGAGGGCGCTGCGGGCGGCTGCCGGGCGACCCTGCCACCTGTCAGGGCCTGCTGCCGGCCGGCGGCCTCGAAAGGCCGCGGGAATGGGGCAGCGTGTCGTTCTTGTACTTGCCACAGATGGAAAGTGATCTGCTGTTTTTGGACTCTGAGATCTGCCTGATTTCGACGCATGCAGTGCACTGGGCATCTAAAATTTGTGCCAGGCAGTATAGCTCAATCTACACAAATCGTGTTTCGTGCGGGCGTTAACGCGTGCCGTGCCACCGCAGAACCTCATGCTCCCTGGCGCCCCTGTCGAGGAGGGGCCAAACATGTTGCCAGTTCATTTTCCTTGCCTGTCGGTAGGATACTAGAAACACGGTAGACTAATGACGGCGCGCGTAGGAGTGTGGGCATCCCCGTGTCGACCAGGTTCCAGTTAAACTTGGCTGGCTTTAAAGTTCGCCGCTAGCGGCCTACTCTTCCTGCGGTACAAAGGTGGTGAGCCACTGTCGAGTTACTCGCGTTAGGTTCGTGAGGCGTGAGATGCCGGCTGGTCGCGGGTCGGTGCGCCGGTCAAAGCGTCAGACGGCGTCTGTCCGGTAGCGCGTTGTCAGCACATTGGCACGCTGTCCCAGCGTGGGGTCCGAGTGTGTTCTCCGTAGCCGATTGCATGGGGGTGTCGCGGTGGGCTCAAGGCTCGCCCTGTTGTTTCAAGCTCACAAGTAGCTGTATGCCCAGTGGGCGCTGTTAGAGAAATTCCATCCATCAAACCGCAGAGTTTCAGTGATAATGCAATGTTCGTTGCCTGTGAAGGGAAACTGGTGGGACTTCGTTTCGGGGTGCGTCATTGCATCTTCAAATGCACCGAATGAGCAATTTTAGGTAAGTGGGGTCAAGCTGGGTAGCATCGCAGTGGGTACATGCGGGAATTTTAGTTGCCAATGAGCCAGTTGCATGTGGCAAACTACAGTGATACCTCGAAAGCGTTTTACCACGTCCCCTCAACAGAAGAGAAGCAGAAATTAGCAAACGTTGAAAGGAAATAATTTCCTGGGAATTGGCCGACCGATTTTAGTCCACACTTACTTGCATCAAAATACCTGTGAAATGGTTATTTCGGATCCAATCTTAGGCTACCCAAGACGTTAGAGTTGGCCACGTCCGGTCTGAAATGTGCATGTTCCATCTCGCGTTGCCGCCATTGGAGGGGTTTTCTGAGCGGAATGAGGCTGGCTTGCTGACTGGATTGAAACGCGGCTAGTGTCTACCGCCAGGCGGCACAGCCAGGGGGGAGGGGGAGGGGGCGGGTGTGTATGGAGTGGAAGGATGGGTACCCTGCTGACCGGGACCGCAGGCAGTGTACGGATGCTGCTCGCTCGGCAATGGCCGGCACGTGTGTGGAAGCGAGTGTGTTGTATTCTGTGATAAGTGCGGGGCACTGAGCACAAATCAAAATTCAGCTGGTATTAAATCAAACCATAAGCCTGCTACGTGTGAATGAAAGCTAAGCATCCTACGCGATGGCTTTCAGGAGAAGGCTGCCTGTAGTCCCGTTGGTAGCGCTACGGTTGTCATCTTCGTCGCCAAATCCTCCATGGTACCCCTCTCATTGAATATTTGTAAAAGTCAAGTTGAAGATGATATCAAAACTTTTTACTTCTCTTGGTGGGCTATTTAAAATAACCATCCTGTAAGGAATAGCAGTGTGCATCAGTTTGACACGTACGCTCAAGTCAATACGAATGCAGGAAAATCAAAAATTACTTCGGTGATGCACCTGAAGTCTTTGAGTCAGTGATGGGCCGAGCCCGGTAGTGAGTCAGCATGTCTAGTGATGTTGGATGCCACGTGGTGCTTGTGGGTCGTAGGACGTGGTTAAGAATAGTCGTACATACTCTCCCCATCCGAGAGGGGCAAATGTGATTTGGAATGGTCTTAGATGTGTAAATCAGCCGCGGATTCTGTCAGCAGACGCATTATCAAAAAGTACGGGGATTTACGTTCGGCTGTAACGTGACTTCGGAAAAAATGAACACAACTGGTTTTGAAAAGATAACCACCGTCATCTCCTTCAATGTTTCTGAACTTTCACACTGAATGAAAGGGATTGATCTTGGCAAGGCAAAAAGGGGAACATTGGCTGTGGCAGCGGCTCTCTTTAATCCAAACAATGACAGATGCATGTAGACGTCATGCATTTATAACCCATCCAAGATGGCGGTGTTTTCTGGAGTCATCCATCCAAGATGGCGATGTTTTCTGGTACCGCCCATCCAAGATGCGGCGTTGTGTGGTTTGACCCATCCCAGATGGCGAAGCGTCGGGTATGACCTATCCAACAAGGGGAAGTGTAGGGTATGACCTATCCAAGATGGCGCACGTAGCGTATGACGCATCCAAGATGGCGGCGCAGTGTGGTTTGACCCATCCAATATGGCGGTGGCTGCTGGTTGTGATTGGTGAATGTGTGCTGTTGAAGATGATAATGTCATGTGCCATGGTTTTGAGAAGAGTCGAACGCTGCGTGGTCTGCGGCCGAGCCGTCTGTGTTGTTATGCACACGTAGTGTTTTGGTGAGGTGGGCCGCATTGTTGCTGTACGTTAAGCGTGATCATACCAGAAACATGTTTGTACAATAAACTCACATCACTACATGGTGGCAATCGTGTGCATTGAACTGGAGACGTGTTTTAGACGGCCACGTACCGAGACCTTTGTAGGTCAAACTTTTAATATTATCCAACTAGCGAAGAAAAAATGCATTCAACACCGCAATCACTTTCCAGACAGGTTTCCAGCAGGGAGAGCATTGGCGATTCCCAAATGATAGGTGATGCTGAGCAAACAATGCGCTTAATGTTGTTTGTGCACTCAGTGCACACTCAGCGGGGTTAAGGAACGGTGCGTCACGAAATGCCCATTGCTGATCGTTAAAAGGCTTATTAGGGCACGCCTTCATGTGTTTTGCGTGATGCACACATGCAATCGGCTCTCAGTGCACGACAAAGAGAACTCATTGAACCAAAACATACATCGGTACCAAACAAGCTCAAAACCCCAACGAAACTACCAAACAAGCCGAGATACTCATTTCACCGGAATGAAACGAGCTTTTCCCTTGTACATGCGCACGAGCCAGCCATGGCACGTGGAACACCTGATTCGGAGTTCCCTCAGCGCTCGATGGCCGACCTCGACATCCCGGGCCAGCGCGGTCGACAGCCAACCCCGCCACCTAGCGAGAAGTCTTCGAATCAGTTTAACCTTGGTGCCGCGCGCAGCCGAGGCCCGCGCCAAGAGCGGCGCCCGTCTACTTCTCCTACCGCCCGCACCATACCAACCGCGGAATGGCTACGCGAGCGCCGTACCGTGGCGCGCGAAAAATGTTTACAGAACACACCTCTCATTTGCTTTGCATCGCTGGCTCAATTAGGTGCTAAACGGGCGTTCCTTTTTGAGATGTTCCACTTGACAGCGTAACCAGGCGGGGTTTCACCCAGCGTAAACGACAGGGCGGATCCAGGATTTCATGAAGGGAGGAGCCCAGGGAGTCATGGATCCTACCATTCTGAGCTCAGTGTTTCGGAGAACATATGGCAAAATGAGTCAAAGTTGGCTCCTAAACACCATCCAAGTTGAGCACGACAGCACGACTCGAATGGCTAGCCATCATTGTCTTACGCACGGCGAAACCAACCAAAAGTTTCATTTTGAAGGTCGCTAACCGTGCAACGAAAATTAAAGGCAAAAACTGTGCTGTACGATAAGTCATTTGTTGCATTCTTTGTACTGCGATAATATAAAAATAACTTTTGAGCTTTTGACACTACGCGGTAAAACGTTGATCTTTTACGTACATATTATCATCGTAATAGTGTGTATAACTTTATATATAATGGGCGTCATTTCTAGTTGTTCATCAAATTGTCCGACTGTACATCCCGCCCCGCGGGTGGGACAATGTGTTCCACGTAGTACGGTGAGCTGCGCGGTACTTGTCATCTATGAGCCGAGTGGGCTGAGCCAGGATTTCGTGCACCGAAAGGTACGAACGTTGGGGTGTCCCTGGAATGTTTTGTTTCTTAAGAACTGACGTTTTGGGACCCTTTGTGATGCTCCCTAAAATACGGCACCTCAGGAAAATAAAGACTAGGGCGTCCCGAGCTGAAGGTTTTGGTGCTCCTTCGCCGAGTGGCCGATGCAGGATTTCGTCAAGGGACCTTGTGGTGTCTCCTGAACTTGGGGTCTCTCGAAAATGCGATTGGGGCCGTTTGTGACAGTTCTGGAACTCGACGCCTCTTGAAAATGAAGGTTACGTGGCTCCTAAATGAAGGTTTGGTGCCCATTCATTATCAGATTCGATGCCCCCTCTGGGCACCAAACCTTGTGGACACGTAGCCAGCCGTGTCAGGAAACGCTGCACATGCTGACTGTACATAGAGGAACACACTGAAGCTCCCGCGGCGCTTATTAAAGGGAGTGTTCCACATTTGTATTGGGTTTTGGGCTGAAATAGCCATCTGAAAGATCATTGGCTGCATTTCGCAGCGCTGCCCTTATTAAGACGTAAACTTCTCTAATTTTTAAACTACTCACCCTGCAAAAATGTGCAGACTTTTACGGGAAGACTATTTTAAGGTCACCCAGGCATCCATGACGCCATAAGAATGCCAGTCAAATCCTGCCATTTCATAAGTCATGCGGCGAGCAGGGCCGAGAAAAATATGATTGTCGAGTCGTCCGCATCTAGCGTTCGTGAGCACGACTTCCAGATAAAACGGCCGTCAGTTGGCTCTCGATCAACGTTGCACAAGGCATGATGGCGTAATCAAACAATGACGTATTAAGAAGTGTGTTTTTTTAAAGGAAAGTTGTGTTGTCTAGATAGTTTTTTCCACGTTAAGATATATTTATAGTTATCATTGGTCTCATTTCATCATGGCTGGTCCTTGCTTCAGTATCTTCAAATGGGGAGCATTCCTTTTAATAAATGTTGTTATGACAATGCAAAATTTGTCACACACTTAACAAGTCATAGCGAACCTTGAATTTCCTTATCTGACTCACATACAACTAATGCCGAAGATGAATAAGGTACACATTTGAACAATAGACATGATCTAAGATACCTTTTCACGGGATATCAGAACACAGAAAGTTTGCATATTAGTGAGCTCGCACGGCAGCATAGCGATCGGTTTTGTTGCTTGATTTCCAAGTCTAGCAACAGTTAGTCCCAAGTCTAGGTTACAAATGAGTACATGCTCTCTATGCCATATCGAGGCGTCTCTTACAACTGTTATATGGGGATCAATGGACGTAGTACCACCAGAAGTCGCCCCACCATACATTCGTTTTGCTCAATTTCTCGCTTTCTCAGTGCACAAGGGGATCAGCTCCTTTGGGGATCATAAGACACGACGCCACTTGTGGAGGATCAGAGGACACGATTGCGCTTGCGTACGACGTACTTGTCAACGGCGGCCGTCCGATACCAGCATACGAACGGGCATAAATGGTCAACGAATACCGGTTACGAACGGAAATAACCGGCTTTAGATACAGAAATACGAACGGGCATAAACGTGAAATACTATCGAAAAACAAAACGCGCAATACTAAACAATACTGGTAAATCCGTCATTACCCACCTAAATCCAACCGGCCTAAAAATGGCCCTTCGGGAACGCAACACGCCGGAACCATAGTTAGTATCCGGGCAGGATGGAAAACGATACCGTCGCGACCCGGACAGACGGCATTGGGGCCTCAGCGCCCGTGCCTGATGGCAACGCAACTTAACGACCGCACTGCCATTGAGGTAAGAAGCGGCCCGCTAGCTCGCTTGGGCTGTGGGCCCAGGGAACTTCCGCGAGCACCATGTTACTGGTATGACGGTCGGCGGTCGCGATTTCCGCAGATTTGGTCAAAGTGGTCGTATTCCGTTGTCAAAATGTTTTTTGCGACATATCTCAGCGCACGGTGACTGACGACTGCCTTTTACGGTCAGTGAAGTTATAATCGGGCCTACGCCGCCCAGCATGGCATGCAGAAAATAAACACATTTGCTCACCACTGGTCGTGGGCGTGGCAGCATTAACTCTAGCGTGATTTTTGAACGGCCACAACACATGCTATATGCCAAGTTCATAGTCATGCAGTGTTAGCTGATATCACTCGAATGTGTAAGTAATAAAGCGGTTCGACTGTTGATGGCACTGCGTGCAAATACGCCGTGTCAAGTTCAAACGCCGTCTGCGCTCAATTCTCAGCTAACCATCGCCGAGTCTTCTTTTGCATGCCGAAATTTCGAGCCGGCCATGTTGTCTCTAACGTGGTCGCAAGACTTATGACTGTCATATCCGCAAGGCTTCGGCACCGCAAAGCTTTTGCCGCAAAGCTTTGGCACAGCAAGTTTCAATTTAAATTCGCCTTGCGATCCCGCTGATACACTGCCAGTCAAGTACCAATTGCTGCTACCTTTCCGATAGCATGTAGTGTTGCAGAAGAATGGAATATGAATAGCTTATGAATTTAATTCTTTCGACCGGCAGTCAAATACCAATTTCGACCGCCAGTAAAGCACGAATTGCTGCCACCTTTCCGATAGCATGTAGTGTTGCAGAGGAATTAAGCATGAATGACCTATGAATTTAATTATTTCGCCCGTCCTCGACCTGAAATCAAACGGTTCGAAGGTAGCCCACAGCCTACCACACGGCAGCTCGGCCTTACGGGATTCCGGAACATCGACAATACATGTTTCATGAAAGCAGTGCCGCAATGTCTGAGCACCGTCGCGCCCAGCATGAATGCATTCTACGAGGCGAGTACTCGAGAAACATCAACACGACCACCTCCGCCAACTGGGCGCTGACCACCGCCCTCATCGACAATACAATTCCAGCGGTTTGCGGAATTCACGGGCTATCAGCAGTAGGACGCACAAGAGTTCCTCAGATACCTGCTGGAGGGCTTGCACGAGGACGTGGACCGCTTCAACAACCAACCCAAGCCCAAAGCCACCTACATCGATGGCGGCCTCGGTGCTAGCCAGGACCGCTATAGGCCTGGAAGCATTTCCTTCTCCTGAAGGACGCCAAGTTCGTTCACCTGTTTGTCGGACAGCCCAAGTCCACGCTGCGGTGCGCGGTGTGCGGCCACGCGTCCGTGACGTTTGACCGGATCTGGGACCTGCGCCTGCCGATCCCATCCATGATGGGCCAGGTGCGCTTGCAGGACTGCTTTGACCTTTCACCGAGGAAGCGGTGCTTGGCGGGGAAGAAAAGCTGATGTGCTCCATATGCCAGAAGCGTCAAAAGTCTCCCAAGATTAACATGATTCGGAGCAGGAGCGTAGTTTACTATTCAGTTGGGAGCCTCCCTCCTCCCCCCCCCCCCCCCCCCCCAACTTGGCTTCAGTTCACAACTCGGGCTGCAGCCCCCAACTCTGGGAAGAAAGTGGATCGAATGTGGGGAGAACCTTAATAATCCTTAATAAACGTTTGCACTCAGAAATTTGGCTTCTTAATATGCGTTTGATATCGATCCAATGGTTAAGGCCAATTCTAAGGCGAAAGTTTGTGTTTGGAAATATGAGGTAACTTGCTAATGTTGGAAACAGTTCAGGCAAAGCGATGCAGTTAATATAGATATGCAGTTAGCATATCTTTCCCTTCCTGGTGCGTTGTACCGGGGTTGAACTTCAGCGAACACTTACAAAACTTTCCGGACCCAGGTTAATGGCGTTAAGCTTTGAAATATGACATACTTTAAAACCTATAGGTTTTAACATAATCTGCGACTGCACTGGGGAGCTACTTAATATTAACATGCATTAATATGCATTAACACGCGCTCGGGTGGGGGGTCACATTGACCCCCGGAAGGCTTTTCCAGAATAGTTTCCGAACGTCGCGGCGCAGCCGCGCCAAATTTTGCATAGCTGTAGCAATTGAATAGCGGATCCTTTAACATAAAAATTTAGATGTACCTTGTAAGGTCGCTGACCTATGGCAGGTCACAGTCGGGCCATGGTTTCAGCGAAGGCAATTTCTAGGGAATCGTCCAATCTGATACAATAACGGAGTGTTTGACAAAGCCATACATCTCTGAGATGCTTTCTTTGGCACCACAGATATTGAATGAGCAAACAACGCTGACCTAAGGTCATGTATGAAGGCCAGACCAAGGTCAAAACCGACCTGATATATTAATCTAGGGCTTGCTGTGTGGGATAGTTTGTGTTGCTCATTTCGAATTTATTGATGACAGGAACCGCATTACACATCTTCCATTGACTTCTTAAAGGTCAGAACAGGTCATTGGCCTAAGATGACCCGGGTCGCCATTTTGTTTTAGGAACATACTGCCTAGTGTAATCTTTGTCGCTTATTCAAGTGTAAAGCTCAGAGCAGTCTTGTATGATTTGGTCACCATAACCTTAAAAAGGTCAAACAAGGTCACTGACCTTAAAAGGGCTTGCGACCTTTTGCTTAGAAACAGTTGCCTAGATTCTGGGGGCACCTTAGAAACCAAACTGAAAATTTGACCTTGTTTGACCTTATTTGACCTGAAGGTCATTACCTAGAAAGCTCAAACTTTGATCTAAATGAGCTCACGTACAGGTCAAGACACCCTGTAGATTTGGTGTCTCCAGCCTTCTTAGTTCCCCAAGATCTCAGGGGGGGGGGCAAATTGACCCCCCTCACCACCACCCAAGCGAAGGGTATCTAGTCGGCCACCCGGGCCCGTGTTAAGCCGCCGCAAAACATCCCCCTCCCTGCCTTGCTATGCCTCCGTTCCTCCCCATTAGCGCCCCGTCCTCTTCCCTCCGTCCATGCGTATATCAGTGCACCTCCCATAAGCTCACACGATCACATGAGTGCTTTGATCAATAGACTATGATCGTGTGTGATGATTTAAATAAAACTTTGTCTATCTTCATGTCCATCTCTTTATTTCCCAGAATATGTATATATATATATATATATATATATATATATATATATATATATATATATATATATATATATATACATATACATATATATATATATATATATCATCTAATTTATTTTTCAATGTCATCGTTCACCAAATACAACTTAAAATACTCCCGTATAAATATCTTAAAATACTAAAATATCCACTCCCGTTTTTTGCTAACTCAAATCATGTCCGATCTCATATCGGAAATCAAACATATTGCATTGCAGTTGTGTCTTTTCATCTGATTTCAGCGCAATTTCACACCTATAAGTATACTCGCATGTTCGCACGAGGCCCCATAGTTTATAGCCATTTTGCCCGTTTATGGCTATTCCCTTTAAATGGAGCTGTTTATCTTTACAATGAAAGTTGAGCGGCGATAGCAGACATATAGCCGGAGAAATATAAATAAAAATATAGCAGGAGAATAAAAAGATGATGCGGTTTGGTAGCCTCGATGAGTAGTGGCGGGGTGCTCGGTTGCGCTCTCAATAGCAGGTGGCATAGCGTCATTTCTGCTGACGACAAAGCTGCGCCATGCGAATTGATGGAGGGACCAATCGTGTCACTGGCTGCTGCACTGAGTCACGTGAAAGTGGATAGGGGCGCAGCCAGGATTCCCTCCAGGGAAGGCTTTGAGCTCGGTGATAAAGCATCATGCCGAATTTTGTGAAAATATGAGATTTAGGGCCTGAGGAAATTTACGGGACCGTAAGAATAGTTTCCATAAGAACAAAATGTCGTAATGCGCCGCTTTATTGCGCCCTTCAAGGCGACGATTCTCCGATGCTAAAGATGCGTTGGTTTCCTGACACACGCGACAATGACCTGTAGTAAACAATAAGAAACCGAACACAAAAACGCAACACCACATAAGAACATCTCGAACAATGCCAATAGTTAGCCAAATTTGACCACATTTACTGAGTATTCCGACTATGCATTGCACCTGTCAACAAGCCAGCCTTAGTCCCGGCAAGTTGTTCTTCCTCGACGCAACCGCAGGGCTTATGGCAAGTTTTACGAAACACGTGGTCACTTTCTTTGACCGTCACTCCCTGCAAGTGATGCCGGTATATTTCTCCCGGTTTCACAATAGGCATTATGCGCTGCAGCATGGATTCAGAGGCATTTTGATATATGTCTCGCACACTTTGTTGAAGATGGTGTCGAAATACTCGTCGTGACACTGATCCCCCGCCACCAACTCTTCCTCGCAGCGCCAGCGGTCCTCGTTGGGTGTCGTGCTGTTGGCCTGTAGGTCGCACTCTTCGATGTGATGCAGCTTCATGATCATGTGCGAGGTCCACACCTCCACGGGCGTCGACATTCTGAAACAGAGCCGCCATTGTCAACCGGGGTGTCAGTCGACGCACCGACGCGCCGCTGTCAACTGGGCTGTCAGTCGACGCACCGACGCGCCGCTGTCCACCGGTATGTCTGTCGACGCACCGACGCGCCGCTGTATCGACACATGGGTACGAAGCGTGGTCGGGAGAGTTTTCCACGGTCGGAACAGCCCTCCGCGGCGGGAACTGAGCCAAGATACGCCGATCATGAGCTCCGCAAGCTCCTAACTACTCCACCAGCTGGGTCCCCTAATCGCTGTGTCCCCTAATGGGACAATGCATGTGAAGGGATTGACAGAGCATGAGGGGCGGAGCGACGGCCATCGGTCTACGGAAACCAGAGCTAGAAAACAATAGGCCAAAACAATAGGTACATGTGTGGTCACACTTACATAGATGCCTAGATGACAATGCGTTGTTCTGATCAAAACAATCAGTGATTGCTTTTTAGTGATGTGTTCTGCCTAAAATTTGACTTTGAAATAATGAATGCTGACCCTATCAGAAACGTCACAATCTTTGAAACAATATATCAAATATGCTATTAAAATGTGTAATCACGTATGAGAGAGGGAAAACAACTGCTCTTTTCGAGACATTTATAGCCAAGCGTGAAGACAGCAAGAGTGCCAGTGAAGGCTTCAAGGTTTCGACATCCTAGCGTCATCCGCCTTCTTGCCATTTCATAAAACTGTGATAAGTGAATTGTGCTTCAGCAGAGTGTGCATTACGCACGTCTGTTCCATAACGAGTGTGTTGCACTCCTGCTGAAAGGTGTCATTCTTACGTTTGTTCCATGATTAGCTTGTTGTTCTGCTGAAAAGTGAGATTCTTACGTCTGTTCCATGATGAGCGTGTTGCACTCCTGCTGAAAGGTGTGATGCTTACGTCTGTTCCATGATGAGCGTGTTGTTCTCCTATTGAAAAGTGTGATTCCTACGTCTGTTCCATGATGAGCGTGTTGCACTCCTGCTGAAAGGTGTGATGCTTACGTCTGTTCCATGATGAGCGTGTTGTTCTCCTACTGAAAGGTGTGATTCTTACGTCTGTTCCACGATGAGCGTGTTGCACTCCTACTGAAAGGTGTGATTCTTACGTCTGTTCCATGATGAGCGCGTTGTACTCTTGCAGCAGGTCGTTTCGCACCATAGAGTTGTCCGGTATGAGTTCGTCCGTCACAGGCTCGTGAATCTTCACGACCACCTCCATTTTGTGAATTGAGACCAGGTCGATGAACATCGGCAGCAGTCGCTTATATTGCCTCTGGAACCGTCTGTCCGGCAAAAGACGTCAGCGCGCTCAGGTGACTAGTCAACGAAGAGCCGACTTACACAAAGAGTCGACTGTAAAGCAGTCCTCCGCTCCGTTTTTTTTTTGCGGGGGGTGGGGAATCTCGCCTCCAGACCCCGTCACGTGGCCAACTAAAACGCCGCGCAGCTGTGATCGGTTCATTCACGGCTCGATCAACTTAATCACCAATGGAGTATTAGCATGCAGTGTTCGTTACCTTTAATTATCAAGTCATTCGCTGTTTGTATCGTGTGAACGGGTTCTAATGAACTTTTGATCTCTCTTTTTCCTCCCTATCTTCTTCTCTTTTTTTAAAATATCGTCAGAAACTGTTTGAATTGGATGTGTATCTCTCGGATGGCGGTGACAAATAACGCTGAAACGAGTATAAGCTGATGTGCGTTTGAAAACGTGTTTCGACGACGGGAAACCTCTTTAAATCGTAGATGGCCTGCGGTAAATGTTAGTGGTTCCTTCTTTCTTGTTTTAGAATGCGTAAGTTATGGCATGCGTTTAATCACCTTTATTCCTAACAAAAATGTCTCCAGTTATGATGGAGAGCTCCCGTAGGCTAAAATTGCACGCATGCTGCACGCATGCACGCGGATGGGTCCTGATTCGCCTGGCCTACAGGGTTTTACAGTGATTCGGCCAATGCTGTATCGCAATAGGTCGGGCATGCACGCATGGCATACAAACGGCTCTCATGCATGGGTAAGTCTACTAGGTCCATGCTTTCGCTTTGCTGCTCAACTGTACTATGGTAAAATTGACATGAAAATGAACCGTATCAACAATGTCAGGGTTACCTTAGCACAGTGTTGTCTATGCTCAATGTGATCTACACGTGACGACCAGTTGGTGGACACTTGCTGGCACGCAGGGCCGCACGTACACAGTAATCCTGGGGACACGTGCGCTCTTCCACCCCCTACTAAATTTGTGGTATGTTCCAAAACGTATGTCATCCAATGTTGACGGTTGAAAATTGCAGACAGACACGTAAAAATAAGAAAGATCGAGAAACAGAACGCCAGGAATCAAGAAGAATACACTCGGCTACTCAACAATCTTGCTTTTTAGTGTTGACTCCCACCCCATTGTGAAATCTTGCACACACACACACCTGGTGCCAATGGCCGGCGTCAGCGGTCGCCGCCGCTGCGGCCTGCCCAGCTCCCTCACCTGACTCCTGTGAAGCTGTCCAGCAGCGTGGAGTTGAGCAGCTCACCGACGCCGCCCGAGAAGATGAGGATGTCGCCCTCGCAGCCCTCAGCCTCGCACTCCGTCATCAGGTGGTCGACGTAGCCCAAGGTGTCTGGGCCCAGCACGTCCACGTACCTGTAATCCTGAAACCGACCCAAGGTCACTCGCCCACAGCCCACAGCCCAGCAGGTGCCTAGCTGATGCTTTGGCTCTGGCCCTCTGAGAGGGGACCCAGCAATCATGCCCTCTGCGCTTTCAGTGAACAAAATCATTACTTAGACTTGCAGTTTAGCAAAGCAGCTATATCGTTGGTTATCGTCTTCGGTAAAGTAGCTAAATCTACCGCAGTTGACAAGCGAACTGGCTAACAATAACGACCAGTGAGAAGGCGTTTGGTGCGTCACAGGAGACTTGGCGACCGAGACAAGTGGTGTCGTGTCATCAAGTACACGATACCTAAACCTGACTGCATGGAGCCAGTCAGGACCAATAGCGAGCCTTTGGATCCCATGCAAGCAAATCTAAAAGTATTTTTTCGAATCGAATCGAAAAATCGAGTCGGCTGTCCGGTGTGTCCGCGGGTCCGGTGTGGTGGCGGCTCCCCGCGCGGAAGGCGCCTGCACACCGCTACCAGAGCCTGGAGCGCGTCGGCGCCGTTGGCCAGCGCCCGCTGCCGTCGGCGCGCCTCACCAGTCTCAGTCCGGGCCTGACGTGCACCGCCTCGCACGACTCGCCGCCGTCCTCGGGCCGCACTTGGCTATACTCGAGCGAGCCGTTCCCGTCCAGCGGCTTCGGCCCGACGGCCGGCCTGGTGAGACGGCACGTCTGCCGCTCGACGGTGGTCCACAGCCGCTGGCGCATGTAGTCCACCAGGAAGGCCTCGCGCACGTGCCCGGCCACGTGCAGCCGCAGATCGCGGCCGCGCTCCGACCGCCGCTCGGCGAGACACTCGGTCACCAGGCTGGAACGCGGCCGCCGGGGCAGGTGTCAGGCACCGCTCGGCCCACGGGGGAGGGGGTCAGCCCTCGGCCAAGGGCGTCTGGTGGTCTTCTGTGGCCGTGTGCTGGGGCTGCTTTGAGGGTTAAAGGCACAGGCGCTCACAGGTGTGGATGTTCTCGTAACATCGTTCCGGGTGTTGGAGATGTTGAAAAATGGCGTATTGATGAGCAGAGGTTTCATTAGGACGTCATAATTTTGTTGGGTGGTGGCCGGAGCTAGGGGAACATAATTATATTCAGCAGTGAGTGCAGGAAAACGCTAGCTTTTTGTTAGTGTCCTGCTTTACTTTGGAGAAACAAAATCTAGCTTGAAAATGGTTAGACTCAGCAAACGGAGCTGATCAGTTAACTTGTACGTACGAATCAGAACTCACGGCCAGGTGAAAAGCAAGTCGTTAACAGACCAGCACACTGATGGGCTCCCAATCAATAAGCTCTGTTGATGTTCAAGTTTGCAGCACGAACACATAAAAGTGTTGAAAACAGCATGTGATAAAGATCGTATCACGAGAAACTGAATTTTCTTTTTTTTTTAATCCGAGTGCTACGTTCCCTGATCGTCCCGCATCCGGGTCTGTGCTTGCAAACGCACCAAGCAGGAGTTGATGGTTACCAGTACGAACTCCGCAACCCAAAACATGGACCGAAACGAGGCCAGCAGACCGTCACCCACCCTTCCAGCATGGGCTGGTAGCCGCAGCGAAACGCTGGCGACGTGAAGTTGGTCTGCCAGCTGAACTTGGGGCAGCCGATGCGCCAGACGCAGCTGCACGCTTCATTTCCTTCGGTCGCCTGGGAGCCGCGCAGCCAGACCTGTACCCGCCTGACATCTGCCGGGCGAATTGGAATTGATGCCCCAGACCTTCATGTTAAAGGTCAAAGGTTAAAAGGCCCTGCGACGCTACCGAAAAGCGTTGAAAAATGGGTATGCGCCGCTACCGGCATACCGTCATCTGGAATTCAAGAAAATGTGTGCTTCATGGTCGTCAGGTTTTAACGAGTTTTAACGACATAAAGGTCACGAAGAGTCTACAGCTCCCACGCCCACTACCGCAGAGGACGATGAAGTTCTTCGTCGGAAGCGGGACTCAAAAACCCAGGAGTTTCCACGCAAGGCGGGGGACGAAAGCTCTTGTTTTGCAAACCTTTCGTACACCAAAGGGTTGTGTACCCGCGCATGATAATAATTTGGCCTTGAAGTTGAAATTTGGTGGATCCACTGTTTGCTCAGGCTAGAAAGAAGGTTGTCACAACGAGAAAGAAGATGCAAGCAGTAGGAACTGAGCTTCCATCGAAGTCAGTGCTCTGCTCGCCGACTATAAATAAGACCATCACCAACACAATTCGGCGACCGGTGCCACAGCTTCAGAGGACTGTCCTGCACCACGTGACCGGACTCACGTGCCAAAGGCCAGACTCACGTGACCGGCGGAATGGTGACGTCAGCACGCCGGTGGCGATGAGCACGCCCAGCAGGAGGCAGGCGGCGAGCACCACCGCGATGGCCGCGCGCACTGTAGGCCTGCTGGACACCATGGCGTGGTTGGGCGGCACTGCCGGGCGTCAGAGGGTTAGCGATCGGTGTGACGTGTGATGACGCGCGCACTGTAGGCCTGCTGAGCACCATGGCGTGGTCGGGCGGCACTGCCGGGCGCCAGCGGTCGGTGTGACGTGTGATGGCGCGTGGCAGGCTCAGGTTCAGAGTACAAGACGTGGACATGTAGTGCACTCCGAGGGCGTGGTGGGCGTTAGAGGACCAGACGTCGGTGTGGTGTCTGACGACGCTGGCGGGGAGAAGGAATAAGCGCCGGCAGAAAATGGAACGCGGGTCAATGCAACCACCTGGGGCAAGGTTTGTGCGTGCTAGTTTATTGAAATAGATGGGTTTGGGTTTTATCTTTCAATTATCATGAACTGATACGCGGTCTCGACCGCAAAAAAGGAAAAACTAAAGGCGTCTGATCGCACCAGAACCTACCTTACGGAACTGCCTTCCTATACGTAAGTGCAGCAGCCATGGGTGTAACATTGAGCGGACATACGACGTTTTCCATTCAAAATGTAATTTTCAGACCAGTTTGTCCCCTTCACATTCATGTGACCACTCTAACCATGATCCGTCTCCCCCAGTCTCAGGTACGTGATTACACCCATGGGTGCAGCCAAGGGACGGAGCCCCCATCCCCTAACAAACACATTTGCTCTCTTAGCACCATAGGTTTCCTGACTTTCCTTGCTGACAGACAAGCATCTTTCTTTTCGACAGAAAAGTTACAAAAACAGCGCGTCATGTCCTCACTGCGCTCTCCACTCCTCAAGAGAACCCTACCCACGCCCCTGTTTTCCCATCATTGTATAACGATTATTTTGACCTTCACAGCGATCCCACCGGATCATTGTACTTGGGAACAAACTGCTTATTGCGGGACCTAGCTGCCACCTCATCAGCTAGCCGGCGGCAAGCCTCTTCCTGTGCCAAACTGAGCCACGTGCTCTCCGTCGGACGACTGGGACTGCTGACCAGTCTTGAACATTTAAGGCCCGGCTATCCCAGATACTTCCCACGCCTGTTGACAACGTGCTTCAACTGCATCGCCAGGTTCCAGTTCCTCATAGACTTAGGAGGCCCCAGTTCCGCCCATTGAGGTGGCAGCCCGTGACGTCTCAGGTAAGTCGTCATTACCCCCGTCATCAGACACGTAAGACGTCGTCATTAGCGTCTGTCGAGAACGTCTGTAATCTAAATGCGGCCAGGAATAAGCGTCGGTCGATTCAGCCCATATATCGATATGGTGCGCAGCAGTGGCGCCTCATTCCTTTGTAATGTTATTGGATAGTTCTGCGGTTGAAAATACCGCCATCCAGCACCTCTTCCAGGTAAAGTCGAGAGCGTTCCGCTTTCATGGCATACGAGACCCTGAACCATACGTCGACTGTTCTTAGGCGTTGCTAAGTAAACAGCCATAGCTGACTTGTAAACAAGCGTACTTCGTCTCTTAACAAGGTAAGGAATGGGTTTTGACCGTGACGTCACAGGTGAGTCAGATAGAGTGGTCAGATAGGTCGAGTAATATATAATATAATAGAATATTGAAATGAAAATAGATATAATATGAAAACAAAAATGTATGTAATATATAACACAAAAATAAAAACAAATAACATAATACAATAGTAGAGTCAGATAAGTTGGATGGGCTTACTCGAAGTGGGAATGAACTTCCCTTTGTCATTGAGGAACGGGCCCCAGGTAGCTTCCACTTCGCTGCACGTCGCCTGACCAGAACACTGATGATACGACGGCCCGGACGGCCCAACTGATCGCACCTGAGCGCAGGCCCCTGTCGCCCCTTCAGCGGCCAAAGCGCCCCTTATTTCACCACCACCCATTCCACTGGCACCAATTCCTGGCCATTTAGACAGCTCCAACGTACCTCATGACACAGCCCTCGAACCAACGTTACAGACAGACAATGACGTTCGGGACCACGAAGCGTAGCGGTCCAATCGCCAGAGCCCTGCTCTTCATAAGCCGATGGAGCCCATTCCCTACTTCGTGGTAAGGAATGGGCTTAGTAACGATCTGTTTGAAAGGAGGGAGATTCAGAGGCTACCCCTTCCCTCTCTGCTTGTCTTGCATCCGCCACTGACACTTACGGCTCATGTGCAATACGATGTGCAGGTGCTGGGACACCCATTAACGTGTGCAGTGTGCCATTTAAATGCTTTCAGTACGCGATAATGGGCGTCATGTGGCCCCATTATAGCATTGCCGAAGTGCGTCACGCCCTGGAGATCAGTTTGGATGGAAAAATGACAAGATCGACCTTTAATATGTTTAAATATCATGAGATGGATTACTACCGAAAAAAATTAAGAAAAATCCCCCGCACGCAAACGGGCTAATGTGGCACTTACGGTCGAGATGCCACGTGGTCAATAATCTAAGCTCTGCTTTTGCTTCTGCGACGTCAGCGCCAGATTGTGAACTCGACACACATAGTAATCAACCGGCTCACCGTTTTCCTTCCGTTCACCAGCTTTCGTACGTGGTGTTCGCGGTTTGTGCAGCACTGCTATCTTCGCGCCCGACCTTCGCTCCACACTAACAGCACTTGTCTACCAGGAAGCCTGTGAGAGCCTCGGGCCGCGTCCAGCGGGTGAACGACCGCGGTCCGTATCATACACGCTGGACGCCCAAAAATCTACAATCCCGATCAGGCATGCCACGGGCGTGGCTGTTGTTAACAAAAAGCATGGTTGGAGCAGGAAGTAGTCAAGCAACACGACAGATGCGTGACGACTGGCCTTGTCTGCCTATTGGCGTGAACACAACACAGTCGTTGCGTGGCTCTTGTAATACAGAGCGGCACTGCAGTGCCAGCTGTTTCAGGTTCGGAACGGTTTTTGTCTGGGACAGATGCCCTTTATGCACGCGATCGCTCTCAACGTATTTTCAACGTGCGTGTGATCATTCGCTCATGCGCTCTGCGTGGCTGGCTCAGCCTGCCTCTGAACTGATCCTCCCCGAATGTCTTTTTTATGATCACGGAACCGGCGAACGGTCCGGTGTTTTGGTCGCCAACGGTTGGTTACCCATGCCCGGTCATCTTTGACGCGCCGAGTCGGCGGTGCCCGGGCGCGGCGACATGCGCGGCGTGGCTCTAGGCTGATGGTGACATGCCCGCTTGTGTTTCAGAACCACAACCAAAATGTGTATTGCAGTCTCATATTCGGAACCAGTATCTGTGTTGTATCGCCCCTAATGTTAGCAAAGTTTTCAGTTGCGAAGTCAGAGCTTGTGAATAGGTCAGCAACGCAGCGTTTCTGAATACGTAGGGAGCGAGCCGTGCTCCTCAGCAATAATGGCGTTATCATGATGAAAAATACCTAATTCAGTTGCCACAAAAAGTTTCTTAAGGAAGTCGAAGTAACGAAACTAATACCGCCATTCATGTGACTCATCTTTACTCCGGCAATGTAAAACCAGATGGGTCGCATAGCCTTGCCTTTACTAGGTTAGCTCGATATAAGGTCATTACATTATATGAGGTCATGATACAAGGGTTAATACACGGAGAACACAAGGACAATGCCCTCCCAAGACTATTGCAAGGTTAAATAAGCGCGTGGAAAATTATCTTCAGCAAAATGTCATGATAGAAAGGTCGTGTTGAGCGAGTGTTGTATGGTCGCATGCAGATTTATATGAAAAACATCGCAGGAAAATGATCCAATAAGGTGAAGACCGTTAGGGAAAGGTTTGTGTTAAGCTGTTTTTCAGCTACTCCAGCTTTTGTGAGCCAGAAATATCTTGCCGCTTTGCAACTTGGCGGTTTTTCAATGTTGAGGTTGAGCATGAGGTCGTCAGTCAAATTCAAGCATCCAAGGCTAGAATAGCTGAACAAAAAACAGTCATACAGGATTTGTGACTGTTATCTCACCAATCCAGTATCCGGCCGCAACCGTAGGTCTGCTTCCAGATGTCTGAATCTCTGTGTAAAAAGCTCGCTGTTTAAGATTCACGCATCACCAAAATCTTAGCAGCGGTTGCGGCCATGGTGAACAGGCACCTCCAAGCAAAAGCACCGGAGAAATTTGCAACGGGCGGGGGCTACTTTTCTGAGGAAGTCTCAGCCCCACTGACAGTACCCATGTACTGCGAACGGACTAACAAACCCCACAAACCCTGCGTATACAGCACCTAGCGTATCAATGAGCTATTGGCGTTAGTTTGCACTGACAAACTAAGTTAACAGTTGTTTCACCTGCACGCCGTACATGTTCACTTGGCTTTCCCTTAGCTTTGTTATTAAATTACGACTTATGGGCTCTTCATGCCGCTGCCCATGATGGTGTCTGTGAGATTTCAACCCAACGTGGTTTTCATGACCACAGGATTCCCGCATTACATCCAGCACCGTTGCGGTGATGCACTGCACCAGAACCTGATGAAGTGAAGGGATTGGCTAAAGCCGCATGAATTCCACCCTTTGAATGTGTTGAATGACTTGATTGACCGAATTGACTGACTTGAATGAAATTGAATGACTCCGAGGGAGAGGTATCACGTAAAAGCTCACTGAGCCCAGCTGCACTTCCCGCCGGCACACGCTTGGACGGGTGACCGCCGTCATGGTAGCCGTGTGTCGTGGCGAACTATGGGAATGGGAGGCGGAAGTAATGCCCACCCAAGACTTCATTAGTCATGGTAAGACCCCATAACTCTTTCTCTGCACTGTTCACATCGCGGTTTTCGCCAAATAGGCACGCTTGCAAAACGATGTTGTGAATCAGGATTTACTCTTTCGGTCAATGGGCTCACCTTGACGGCAGTTTTGGCTTGCTTCACGATTAGGTATTAAAGCTGGTTCCGTCCCAACACCCTTCAAAACGGCATATGAAATGCCGTTGTTGCCAGTTCAGTTCCAAAGTGGTATTGATAAGATAGTGACCGCTTGTGGCAGAATATTTGCTGCCGAAGCGGCATCATCGGCTTTTGCCGGAATAAGTTTTGTCGAGCAGCGGCTGTTTTTTTCCTGGAAAAGACACAGCACATGATCAGGCAAGAAATTCTCCCAGCGCCTCGCACTCGACGCACTTCAAAATTGTGCGAAGGAAATGAGGAAAACAGGCAAAGACGTCGTGTTATGTTCGTGATGTATAGGCTTCTCTCTTTTTATGCAAGCTCCCTGCTACCCCTTCCCGCTGTTACCAGTGCCACGCAGCTGATTTCGAAATCACACCCCTGCGTTTTCTGCACATCAGGTTAATTTTTTAGATGGGCATCTCCCTTCCTTAATCATGGGAGAGTACGCCAGAGACACATCGCCGGCCGGGAGGGTCGCATGGCGAGTGCATCTCCCCTCCCCCTTTCCCCAGCTACACGGGAGGGGATAGGCATCCGTGCCCCGCGCCCGTACGCTGAGGAGGGGTCAAGGGCCGCGTTTGGAGCGCCAGCCGCCAATGGTCCGGGAAGAATGGGGACAGCAGCCTGTAGACTGATGCGTGCATGTCGCCGTCGGTGCCGCCGTTGTCGGTGCCAACGCCACCGTCAGGTGGACGCCGTCACTTCTCCTCAGCTCTCCCCGCTCTGGACTCCCATGGGAGACTCTCCTGGAAGCTGCTGGAAGACTTTTCCGGAATGTCTCTTTAAGCTGGGTCGGCTCGTCCCGTTTTCTCGCAGTCCAATAGTTTTGCCGCCGAGCCTCCTCCGTCCAGTGTGTTGTCGGACCGGCCTGCCCTCCTTCCAGGGCTCTGCTCCCAACGTGCCGCTGGGCCAGACCTCGGGCAAGGCGTCGCCGGTGACGGTGCAAGACCCGCCCGCTCTCTTCCTGCTTCGCCTCGGGCGGCCCCTGCGCGTCCCCTCTGGCCCAGTTCTCACGTGGCGTGACGCTTCTGATGCCAGCTGGGACGTCGGCGAGGCCGGCGTGCGGGGTTCTCGGGCGGAGCACCAAACATCTCAAAAACATCTCTATCTCTCGGCCTATCGGCTGTGTTTCGGTCGTGTTTGGTGAGGCGGGGGAGCTCCAGACCATGGCCGCCTTGATCGCAGTCCCACGCTCCGCCGGGCAGCCTCACCGCTCATGGACGGGTGGTGCGCAAAACGAAAAGTACGAAAATGTATGCCTTCAGCTACAACCATAAAGTGTGGGTAGACAGATGTAGATTGCATATAAATGCCTTGCAATCACAAACACTTGAATGGTAGATATATTCAGTCAAATAGTTTGCTCGAAATTAGTTTGTGCAAACATACTTTGGTAGCGTTAGATACTGTCAAAGCATACGAGTTAGTCAGCCGAGCAGGATCATTGACATAACTGAATTATTACTTCAAGCGATGGTTTTTGTTTGTGCAGCCAACTTTTTCTATCTAAGGATACAGTTTCGCAAGATAATTGGTCCCTTAATCATGCAAAATCATTCGACCTTCCACCAAAATACGCCCATAACTGCGCCTCTCCACGGATTTGGCGCACTTCTCAAAGTTGGGGAGTTGAGTTACCCTTGCGAGATCATGCGCACCGCAAAATCAGAAACTCCATTGGGAGACTTTCTCGGCTAACGAAAACGGGAAGGACGCTGTAGTCAAGTCCATGGAAATCAACCATCCATTCGACAAGTCTGCGAATATGGCGGACCGGGAGTCGATGAGAGAGCTTTTACGACGACTCCCAGATACTTCGATATGAGCACCGCAATCAACTAGCATATCGCGCATAGACGCTTTTCGAAAGTATCTTTCGACAATTTGGCTAGCATGGGAGCAAAGCATGAGTATGGGCTCACTCGCATCCACAGCATGGATGAAACAGCTGTACCTACAGCCATGCAATCGAAGAAGTTTTTGGCCGAAAGGGGATGTCGCCAGGTGGGAGTCGTGAGCAGCGCTGAGCGTGGACAGAACGCATCGGCAGTGGTTACAGGCCAGCGAATTGCTGGGATCTTCACTTGCACTTAGCGACGTCCCACAAATCCGTTAAATTTTGCGTCAAGACCTGGTCCTTGTTCCCAGAGGATGCTGCTCCCAGGGAGTGGCAGCATTTTCGTAGTTTCAGCGGGAGGTGGTGGAATGGATAAACCCCACATTAATTGTGAACCACCTCGTTGGTAATGGTGCCGACCAACTTGTAGCTCCGTATGTTGACAGATCAGCCGCATCTGCTACGGCGTCAATGCTTCAACTTCATCTACAGAAATGCTTCGCTTTGCGCTCTTTTTAGCCTGATACGCTACCCTCCTGTTCGCGGTCGACTGGGAGACACACTTGCTTTCTTCAGTTTGAATGTGAGATTGTATGTTTTCCTTTCGTGCCCATTGACCTTGTTCACCTCGCACCAACTTTCAATTCCGTTTGCATTCGCCACGTCCATGGATCTACGGCATTTCGAAGGAAATGTCCCACAATTGAAGATATTGAAACAAGCATCATGTACGATGAAATAGGCCCACTTTTAGTTATTAGCATACTTTTCAGTGCATAGGACTGCTCTAGACAACACAATTGCTATATCTTGTAAATATACTCCTTATTACGGTATTGTTTGATTGCGCCATCGTACTTGCACAACATTGATTGAGGACCGATTGATGGCCCCTTTACCTGGAAACCGTTCCC